AGAAGAAAGGCAGGGATGAAAAGAGGTTGCCATATGCTGACTCATCCCATGGCCCTCCAGAGCACTGATGAGGAGTGAGGGTCACTACAGAGGCCTCTTTCCTTGATGGTGCTTCCAGAGTTGGCATGCACCCATTCAGGGTTCTCGGAGGCTCATGCCCACAGGACAATTGCTTCTGGGCTGCTGCGCTGGGCTCTGTGCCAGGCAGACTGGTGTTCAATCCAGGTGAAGCCAGAGTGCAAAAAACTAAAGACAGGACAGGCGTTGCATGTCAATGACAGGAAGAAGGTGGAAAGCGCTCTCTGCTCTCCTAGTCTGTGCAGACACTGGCTCGGCCTATTGCAAGTGTATGCCGGAGACAGAACGGACAGGCATCCGAATGACTACAACTGGTCAAGAGCTTTCACACATGGTGAAAGTAGAAGAGGCATGGTTGTTTGGGCAAATGTGACCTCAGAGTGTGTCTATGTGAATATGTTTGTGGCCTGGGTGTTTGGAGTAAGTGCTGTGTGTTGTGAGAATGGTGGGTGGGTGTGACTGTGTGTGTGAGCAGTATACATCCAAGACGTAAATAGAAAGCAAAGGGGGTGATGTCATAAGCCACGGACAAAAACTCTGTAGCCAAATTCCTTCAGCATGGACCTGAGTGTGTTGCCTGTATGTGTAACTGGCACAAGCCTGGTCTTTTGTTCTGTGTGTTTAAAATGATTTCTGAGGACCAGGCTCAGTGGCTCATGCCTGTAATCCCAGCACTTTGGGAGGCCAAGGTGGGAGGATAACTTGAGGCCAAGAGTTTGGGTCCACCCTGGGCAACATAGCAAGACCCTGTCTCTAAATAAAATTTTAAAAATTAGCTGTGTGGTGGCATATGCCTATTGTCCCAGCTACTTGGGAGGCTGAGCTGGGAGTAAGGGAACGTGCTCTCTTTCTGGGTCCACAAGGGGATGTAGTTTTAAGGGCAAGAACTTCCCAGTGCCATGCCCCCCTCCCATCTCTCTCCATCCGGGAGATTTAACAGTTTATGTTTGAATTTCGCAGGCGCGGGAAGAAACTAAGAGTCAATCACTCCAGCGGAAGTTCTAAGGAACTGCTTTCACTGGCCTGGGGTCTTAGAGAAGGTGGGGCTTCCTCCCAGGTTAAGTCCCCTTCTTCCACACCCGTTTGGACTCCATGTTTGGAGTCTCTCTTCCTCTCTTTAAATAAATCACTTTCTACAAACAAACACTTTTGAGTCCGGCATTTACTGCGCACTGCACCATGGTTCCCTCTCTCACTCTTGAGAGGGCAGGAGACCAAGAACCTGGAGAAACGTTCTCTCAGGGGAGCTGAGGGCACCCTGAACCCCAATATTTCAGGAGGATTGCTCAAACCGAAGGTTCGAACTGGAGTGAGCCGTGATCATGCCACTGCACTCCAGCCTGAGTTGAAAGAGTGATACCTTGTCTCAAAAAAAAAAAAAAAAGGGTGAGTAGATGCATTACTGTTGTATGTATTTGTACATGAGCTTATATACATAAGGGTTGGGTTTTGCTATGGTCTGAATGTTGTGTCCCCTCAAAATTCATGTTGGAATATACTACCCAATGTCCTGTATTAAGGGGTGGGGCCTTTGAGAAAGTAATTAAGTCATGAGGGCTGTGCCCTCCTGGATGAGACTGACACCCTTATCAAAAGGATTGAGAGGAGCAACCTTGCCCCTTACAACACGTGAGCAAGAAGCTACCGTCTTGGAAGCAGCGTCCTCACCTGACATCAAACCTGCCTGTGCCTCGGTCTTGGCCTTCTCAGCCTCTGGAACCATGAGAAAGACATTTCTGTTGTTTATAAGTTACCCAGTCTAAGGTATTTTTGCTATAGCAGCCTGAACACACTAAGGTAAGTATGTTATGTGTTTATCTATGTAAATCTGTGTGTGCTTCTGGCCAAGGCTGGGGACAGGATGTAGTGTGCGACAATGATGGATTCTGGCTTTCCTACAAGCCTAGGATTTTCTGTCCCTATAAATTGGATACAATTCATCCATCCTGAGTGAAATCCTAAAGGTCTAGATCAATCAAATACGGCTTTGACCCCTGACACCATCCACTTGCCACTCAAACCCAAGCCACCCAGAAACACCTCCCCTGCTAGGCCCCACCACCAGGAGAAGCCTCTAACGCAAAGGCTGACAACACAAAAGATTTCTGTCTTAGCTTCCCCTCATTCAGTCCCTCAAAGAAAAGGGACTGCAGTTGAAACTGAACCGTTCATGCTGGCTGTGCTCTGCAGCGCTGTGACACAGACGTCCCAGTTTCCCACCCAGAGCCTAGAGGGGCCAGTTGGAGAGCCCAGATAATGTCCTCATTACCTTGTCATCTCCTGAAAGCTGCTTACTCTCGCAGGCCCCCCTCTGTTCTGAGGCTGACATTCCTTCTTTGCTCATTTCTCTCTGCTTTTGTCTAATGAGGTGCAGGAGTCTGCCGATACTGACAATAGAATTACCCGGGACTCCAGATTCTGTCAATCTCCATTAGGAGCCCAGGGAGAGAACAGTCAAAGCACTGGGACACTTCGGTGCTGTTATTGTAATGGGGTTCATTGCGAGAGCAAACAAAACAACACTCGCCCCAGATGCCCACCCTGGGCAGATGAGTCACTCTGGCTTCCAGCCCATGCTGCAGCATCCACCTCACCCCACCACTCCAAGGAGCCAGAGCCCGGGGAAGTCATGTACCTCGCTGCTGCCTATACAGGGACATCAGGGAGGCTCATTCTTCCCCTGAAGATCTGCCTAAGGTTGGCTCAACACCCTCTCTTCATTTCATGACTTGTGGGCCACCCAAAGCCTCCCCTCGATTTCTGTAATGTCCTAGGTGACGTAGGTCCTCTTGACCACCTCTCATTTCAAGCAACATGTGAATTATTTGGTATATGGACCATCTCTCTGATCCTCCCACCTTCCATATGCTTTTTTTTAGGGTTCTACCATTTCAACTCCTTATGGAACTCAGTCTGTTTTCTTAATTGATAGGAAAAGACCACTTAAAGGTAAGTCTTTTCAACAATGGTGCTGGAAAAAAAAAAAAAACGACTGGCAACCTAAACTTCAAAAAGTTATTATAAAATTAACCCCAAATTAATTTTAAATGCATTAGTTTATGGTGTGATGGCTCACGCCTGTAATCCCAGCACTTTGAAGGGTTGAGGTGGGCCGATCATTTGAGCCCAGGAGTTTGAGACCAGCCTGGCCAACATGGTGAAACCCCATCTCTACTGAAAATATAAAAAAACTAACCAGGGGCGATGGTGTGCACCTGTAATCCCAGCTACTTGGGAGATTGAGGCAGGAGAATCATTTGAACCCAGGAGGCAGAGGTTACAGTGAGTCGAGATCATATTACTGCACTCCAGCCTGGGCAGCAGAGAGAGACTAAATAAATAAATAAATGTATCCGTTTATAGATGTAACATATGTAAAATGTAAGACTAAAAAACTTTTAGAAGAAAGCATAAGAGAAAATCTGTGAGACCTTGGTTAGTCAGAGTTTTTAAATAAAATACTCAAGGCATGATTCACAAAAGAAAAAAGATAAATTAGATATTATCAAAATTTAAAATTTGTTCTGCAAATGACACTGTTAATAGAATAAAAATATATGCCACAGATGGGGAGAAAATATTTACAAATCACATCTTTTATGCAGAATATCTGAAGAAATTTTGGCCAGGTGTGGTGGCTCACACCTGTAATCCCAGTACTTTGGGAGGCTGAGGGAGGAGAATCCCTTGACTCCAGGAGTTTGAGACCAGCCTGGGCAACATAATGAGACTCCCCCCAACTCTACAAAAAATAAAAATAAAAATTAGCCAGGCATGGTGGCATGCACATGTAGCTTCAGCTACTTGGGAGGCTAAGGCAGGAGGATCCCTTGAGCCCAGGAATTCAAGGCTGCAATAAGACATGATCACCACTGCACTACAGTCTGGACAACAGAGTGAGACTCTTTCTGAAGAAAGAAAAGAAAAGAAAGAAGGAAGGAAGGGAGAAAGAGAGAGAAAGAAAGAAAGAGAGGGAGGAAGAAAGAAACAGAGGGAGGGAGGAGGAAGGAAGGAAGGGAGGGAGGAAGGAAGGGAGGAAGGAAGGAAGGAAGGAAGGCAGGCAGGCAGGCAGGCAGGCAAGCAGGCAGGCTCAAAACTCAACAATAAGAAAACAAACACCACTAGAAAAAAAACAGACAAAAGATTAGAATAAGGACTTCTCCAAAGATATATAGGAATGAAAAATAAGCATATGAAAATGTGTTTAACATAGTAGTCATTAGAGAAATGTTAAATTAAAACTACACTGACATTACCACCATAAACCTATTAGAATAGCAAATAAATAAATACAGCTGACAATAGCAAGTGCTGGTGAGGTTGTGGAGCAACTGAAACTCTCATTCATTACTGGTGAGAATGAAATGGTATAGCCCCTTTGGAAAACAAGTTGGCAATGTCTTATAAATACCTACCATGTGACTACAATCCCACCTGCTCATAAAAAGGGAAACTCATGTTCACGTAAAAACTACTACATAAATGTTAACAGCAGCTTTATTCATAATTACCAAAAGCTGGTTTAATCCAAATGTTCTTTAACTGGCAAATAGATAAACCGTGGTACCTCCAACAGTGCTAGAGTGGAATACTACTCAGCCGTAAAAACGAACAACTACTTCATACAACAACATGGAGGAATCTTAAATGCATTTTGCTAAGTAACAGAAGTCAGACCCAAAAGGTTGAATATTACATGATTTCTTCTCTATGACATTCTGGAAAAGGCATAGGGACCCAAAATAGATCAGTGGTTGCCAGGGGTTAGTCGGGGGAGAGGGGTTGACTCTAAAGAAGCAGGACAAGGGAATTTTTGGAGTAATTGAACTGTTCTCTGTCTTGATTGTGGTAGTATATTCATAACTCTATGCTTGCCAAGACCTATTATACCATGTGCCATAAAAAGTGAATTTTAGCCTCCAGCGAGGTTCGTGTGAAGCTCCCTATTATGGCTTCCAGCGGGGTCCCGGTGAGCGCTGCTGACTCGGCTAACGAAACCCCCAAAATACCAGACAAACTGGGAGATTGGCTTCGGGGCATCTACTGCTTTGCCACTGATAGGAATGACTTCCGGAGGAACTTGATCCTCAGTTTGGGACTCTTCTCTGAGGGAGTTTGGCTGGTCAGGAACTTGAGTGACATTAAACTCATGGCACCTCAGCCAGGGGTGTAGCCAAGTAGACAAAAGGAATCCTGGGCTGAACCCGAACCTTCCAAAAAACAGCCTACAATCTGTGACCATCACAAGATGTGCCCTGATGGCAGCTGAAGTGTGATTCAGATGGGCACTTTCCTTTTCCTTAGCCCTGCCTAGTTTCCTTTTGTTCCTTGAGTCCACGCAGAATTCCATTCTCTGGTCAGCAAACAGGTTTAAGCTAAAGTATTGCCTCTGTTCTGTAAAGTTCTGTACAAAGTTCCTAAGCTTCTCCAGGGGGTGATCTTTGCTCTTGTCCTGAGAGATAACAATGCAGTTTTAACAAACATTTGAAATAAATACTGCACACAAAGAAAAAAAGTGAATTTTACTGTCTGCAAACTTTTAAAAATTGACCAAAATATTGCTGGGAACTCAAAATGGAATACAAACTAAGAAATCAAACTGTGACACAAATAAATCCTATTGTTACATTGAAAGAGATGGAAAAGAAAATAACTCACAGAAGTAACCATGGAAAACAGTTTTGAATGGATGCTATAAGATTGAAGACCAGAACTGTATGGAATGTGGCTTTTGTTAGGCAACAGCAGAAAGAACTATACACAAGTGCTGTACTATAGTAAGTAAATTTGCTCTTCACAGAGGTATGGGTTAGCAATTATGAAACTACTTTATGTGTGTGCATACTGGGGTTGAAAAAACAAGTTAATACCGTCAATTCTCGTAGATTGCAGTAGCTACATTCTATAGATCACTGTAAATACTGAATTAGCAAATACCGAAGCATGGTTCCCAGGGGAAATAGTTAGGGTCCTGTGAGCCTCTGGTCATAACGTTTTCATCAACCAATCAATACATTGCCTTGTTTTGTGTGTGTTTCTGTTTAAAGACACTTTATTTACTACATAGCGTTCATTCACTATATCATGGAACTCATGGCCAACCAACTGTGCTATGACCCATGCCTGGGGGAAGCTTTTCTAACACAGGTGACTTTCTTTGTAAGGCTCATAACAGCCTTTTTGTGCTCAGGAACATCAGGCAGCACGTCAGCACTACACTTGGGGGGCATTTTAAACAGCAAACTCACCAATGAAAAGCATAAAAATGGGAAAAACTTGACACCAAACCGTGAAAAGGACGCTTGTTTACCACGTGACAGCCAGAGCAAGAAGGCAGAACAGAGCCTTGTTTTTACCGCAGCTGAGAACAAGCACATCGGGCAAAAGTTTTTGAGGCTCTGGGCATGTCAATGAATGACTGGCCAAAGGCCGCAAGAACTGGTTTTGGAGTTATAAATTATAGGCAGCAGGAGAATTCGCAAATACGGAATCCGTGAATAGCGAGGATCAACTTTATATGCAGATAACGAGAGCCAGATGAGGGGAACGGGGCGTCAACCCAACCGTCTCTCAAGGCCAGTCACAATTGCTAAGTGCACCAGACTTTTTGGAGTTAAAACTCATTGCATGCAAGCAAGCTGGAAGGACTCTTAGACACCAGATATTCACCACTCCTTTTACAAAGACCACTGAGGCCTAGGAAGGGATACATGGCTTGTCCAGGTCAAGCATGGAACAGTCCTCTGTGTTTCTTTCCCATCATGGCCCGGGGCTGCCTCTGTTCACCTCTCAAGGATCTGAAGTCCTGAGGGATGGGAATTTTGTAGGGAGGAGTAAGCATGTTTAAAACCCAGGCCTCAGTTTAACCAAAGGAATCTCTCTCCTACCACAGATCTGCCGGAAAGAACTTCGAGATAGCAAGTGGAGTGCCGGGGCTCAGACTCAGACCACCTCTCTTTCAACCAGGGCTCCCTCCTCAGGTGATCTCATCCATTCTCATTACTTTAAGTACCATCTTTATGCAACTTTACATCTCCAGCCCAGACCTCTTCTTCTGGACCCCATACTCAGATTTCCAACTGCCTTCTTGGCGATGCCATGTGGATACCTAACAGGCATCTGAAATCTAACATCTCTCAAGCAGAACTTTGATGCCCTCCCCCAACCTGCTGCTCCTGTCCCCATTCTTTCCCACCTTAGTAAATGGCCGCTGGAATTGCTAAGGCTAAATAAACCTGGAGCATCATACTTGAGTGCTTTCTTTCTCTCATATCATACATACAATTCAGCAGCCAATCCTGTTGGCTTGGGGGACTTCTTACCACCTCCATTGCTACCACCTAGGCCCTCTGACTACTGAGTTTGCAAATCTCCTGAACTTTGTTCCCTATTTCCAGCCTTGCCCCACACAGTCTGCCAAATCCCGATTAGAATTGTCCTTGTTAAATGTCAGGTCACGTCACACCTCTGTTCAAAACCCTCCAATGGCCTCAAAGCAAAATCCAAGGCCTGCAGATGACTCCCAAAACCTACATGAGCTCTGATCTCTCCTCCCACCCTATCCCACTTCACCCCATTCCAGCCATACGACTCCTGGCTGTTCCTGAACACCTGGGCAGTTTCAGCTGGGCCTGTGTTCTTAGGGTCCCTGTCTGGGAAGCTCTTTTTCCAGAGAGCAGGTTTGTGGCTCCTCAACACGTTCCCCCTGGTCCCAGACAAACAGGAGGACACTGGGTTGGAAACCTTAGCTTGCCAGGTGGAGTCAGGCCTAGACCTCATGTTTTACTGAGCTCTGCTCCAATGTCACTTTATCAGAGAGCTTTGCCAAACTGCACCATCCCTGTCACTTGGTATCCCCTTCGTCCTGGTTTGTATTATTATTATTATTTTTTTGACAGAGTCTTGCTCTATTGCCCAGGCTGGAGTGCAGAGGTGTGATCTTGGCTCACCGCAACCTCCCTCCACCTCCCGGGTTCAAGCGATTCTCACACCTCAGCCTCCCTAGTAGCTGGGATGATAGGCATGCACCACCATGCTGGGATAATTTTTGCATTTTTAGTAGAGAAGGAGTTTCACCATGTTGGCCATGCTGGTCTTGAACTCCTGACCTCAGGTGATTCCCCACCTCGACCTCCCAAAGTGCTGGGATTACAGGTGTGAGCCACCGCGCCTGGCCCTGGTTTGTCTTCTGAACACTCTTTGCCACCTGCTCGGCTATATCTATTTATTTGTGAATTGTCTGTCTTCCTCCACTAGATCAGAAACTCGGGTCTAATTCCTTGTACCTAGAATATTGCCTGTAGTATAGTAGGTACTCAAGGTTTTGTTGAGTGAGAGAATGAATAATCTCCTGATCCTTAGAGAGCCTGCTCTAAGGATCAGGAGGAGACAGCAGCTAAGGAAGCCAGTCCTGAATTTTCCCTAGGGATAGGGAGTAAGTGGGGGGCTCTCTGAGGAGCCCTGGAAGCACCCACTCTGCCGCCAAGGCTGTGAAGAAAACAGGCCAGAGTATCCTAACAGCCTCCACTCAGAAAGGACCTGGAAACTTTTAATGAGACAAAATAACAAATGTCGTGGTTTGGGGCTTGGTGCGCCTCCCGCTCCTTCACCCCTGTGCCACACACCCGGGCCCACACTGAATGCCCTCAGCCCCTCCGGCTGCACAGGGGCCGGTTTTCCTGCACTCTGCTCCTGTTCACAGAGCCAGCTTCCTCCCGCCCCACACAGACGTTCCCAGAGCTGATCAGGAAACTTCTGATTTGCATCTCCAAAGAAATAAAATTCCACTAAATGCTGTTTGTTTTTCCTTCTGTTTGCCCTGAGGCGGGCCTGTTGTGGCTCCTGGGATCCAAAGTGGGTAATCCAGCCGATGTGTGGTTCAGGGAGCCGGGACCTCAGAGGCCTTGGCAATAAAAAGGGGAGACTGCAAGTCCCGTTTGAAAGGAGATGGCGGGAGAGGCGGGAGGAGGAAAGAGAAATCCACACCAAAACCTGCCTGACACAATTATAGCCACATTTGCATAACAGAGACTGAGAACTCACTTAGAAGGAGGGGTAATTAGGTTCTTTGGTGATTAGGGACACTTTCCAAACGTGGGGAGAGGAGAGGGAAATCCAACCCCGAGGCGGAAAAAGAATGTACAGAATTGAGGCTCGCTGTCGGGAGGCGGGAGAGAGGACCCGCAGACAGAGCTAATTGGCTCTAGGCCGACACCTCCTGGCAAGCCAACGTTTCCAGCCCAGATCTGCGTGTCTGGACTAGTAGGGGAAAGCGTTGAAGACCCAGAGACCTATGTGGGGGGCATCCAAGCCCCTCCCCAGACCAGCTGTATGACCTTGTGCGCCTGTACCCTCCCTGAGGCCAGGTAACTCACGTGCCACATGGGGTTTGCAGGGCTGCTGGATGCTTAAATGAGATACTGTTGGAAGAGGGTGTGGAGGATAGCGCACAGCCAGTGGGCTCGTTTGAAAGACACCTTCCCCAACTCTCTTCCCGATGGGTGTCTCACAACAACTGCGTTGCTTCTGGTCGTGCTCCATAGTGCGAGGTTGACGCCCTTCACAAGGAGGTGGCCTGTGAGTTAGGAAGGCAGTGACTCCAGGGTGGGAAGGAAGCTGGCAGCCTTGTGGCTGGAGCGTGTGTGAATATGGAGGCCTAGGTGTGTTAGGAAACGCGGTCTTAGATCAGCTCTTTCTCCCTCGAGCCTCAATTCTCACTTTCTCCACTCTAGAAAGCATGACATCATAGGGGTCACCTTGAATGCAATATTCATGCATGTATAAAAACCATTTGCAAATGTGGATTCCTTATTATTAGTAACAGATAATTTGTATCATACCTCCTACTGCCTGGGTTATGAGCTTCTGGATGACAGGGACAAGATCTTTTACTTTTATTATCATTTTAAATTTCTGGCACTTGGCACATAGTGGGTGATCAGGAAATGTTTAATGAATGTCCAACCATTTTTGACACTTCCTTTTTCCTCCAGTGCAGTGGGATTGGTCAATGGCAGGGGATTCTTTCAAACCAGACACCTTAACTTAGGTCTATATGGCCTCATGACAGCGAAGAATTAAGGGGCTTGGGGGGACTTGTCATCCTCCCTACATGACTTCTGTGCAAGGTCAGGATGTTGGAACCAATGCCCTGGGTTTCCAAGAAAAGATTGA